TCTAGAAGCACATCCTCCCAACAACACAGCCCCTTGTTATGGATGGGGGCTGGGCACAGAGGGGCTTCTAAATTCTGGGATGGAAATTTTTATAAATTTTCTCTCCATCCAAGAATTTTCCTTGATTCCTGGCATTGATTGCTCCAACTGTGGTTTTATTTGTGATTTACAGAAGTGTATGAGAATCGAATATTTATTTAGGGCCTCCTGTATGACAGATACAACGGTGAAGACCAGACCCAACGCCGCACATCTGGCTGCTGGGGACCCCAGCAAGGACACAGGTCGTTAGGAGACGCAGAGAGAACCGCTGACGTGCCCAGGGCAGGTGCACCAGGCATACCCAGAGAGTCAACTGCCCCCCAACCCGGATCCCAGTCTTCCTTCCCTTTGATTCTGCGGAAGCTTCTTCACTTAGGAAACCCTTGTCCTGCATTAGTTTACAACAAGGGCCTTTTAAGATTCTACATCTGTTCACTCCTTTGACTTGTCCCAATTTCTGCAGTTCGCTCCACCCCTCCAGAGGGGCTCAGGGCTGCCTCGGCCAGTGCTGGCTCCCTTCAAGGGCCCTGGCTCAGATGTAAAGCCATGGTTCACCCAGTCTGTAGCAACCGAAGGTGGCCAGGCCTGACATGCACCCTAATGTGGGAGGCAGGACCCTGGTGTGCCCGCGTGGGGCACCTGGTTTTGGGTTTATCTTCACTGTTACTTCCCTTGCTAGTGAAGATGAACTGGTAACCGGTAAATGCTTAGTTGTATAAATGTTCCATCTTTCCTTTTCTTTTTGTTTTCCTTTTTTTTTTTTTTGAAGGGTTTCTTGGCCTAGAATTTAATTAGCAACACATTCTGATGACAATTTTTTGCGTGAGGGAACATAAGCACCAACTGATTAGCTCCGGGAGCGGGTGCATGGATCACCTGCCTAACAGCACAAAGAGGAAAGCAAAGGAGCTGAGCATCTTGCTGAGGAAGAAGGAAGCCTGAGATGCTAAGAAAAAAACCCCTTGCCTTCCACATGCCGGGAAATCAGAGACTTCAAAGATCTCAGGCTGAAGTGACATCCAAGGCCCTGGAGTGGCTCCAGGACTCTGGGTGCGGAGACATGATATTTGGTCTTTTTCTGGCTCCAGCAAGCTGAGAACCCGGGGCATCAAGGAATGAGAGATAAATGTTAGCCTTTTCCAGGGCCTTTGGATAGAAAAAGTGATGCTAATTATGGGACAGATTTAAGTTAGCGTACGAATTAGAGACAGTCGTAGTAATAACACTATCAGCCCACCCTGGGGCTCGGATGCTGTCCCGAACCTTTCACACTGATTAACTCACTTACTACTTAAACTCAAAACCCTGTGAGATTGCTTCTGAGTATTATCCCCACAGAGAGGGCCAGAGATGTTCGGCAACTAGTCTTATGCCGCACGGCAGGTACAAGGGAGGCCTGCATCTGCACTCGAGCATTTGGCCTCCAGAGCCTGCTCTCTTTGGCTGCTTGCAAGCATCCGTGTCGACCCAGACCTGCAGCAGTAAGAAAACCCTGGCTTCCGAGGGCAGCACCAGAGACCAACCACACATAGCGTCGATGGCCAGACCGCGTACGTGGGACCAGAGAACTCTGACCCACAACCTCTATAAGAAGCATCTGGCAACCACACCGCGGCCACAGGCCTCTGCAGCCCCACCCCTGGACCAGTCAGGAGTCGGCCGGGACTGCCATCTTCTCTTCCCCTCCTAACTCAGGACAGCCAGAGAAAATCGAATACGCCCCTGAAATCAATCCCACGGGATGCCCAGCTCGTAGTATCCCACCCACAGACTCCACAGAGCACACCTGGGTTTTCCTTTTCTTCCATGACAAGCTGTCCCCCACCCCTGCCTGCTGTGAGTCTCTGCCAAACCCCAGCGCTGGTGGGGGCCCCCTTGCTGCAGCCAGCTCTGAATAAGCAGGCTTTGCTTGCTCTCCTTTGGGTTCGCTTTGCTTATTTCCCCGGGTGTAGCCTCCTATCTGTAAAATGTCAGCACATGAGGAGCGGGGTCCAGCAGGGAGAGAGCGCATCGGACCTGAGGAGGCATCTGTTATAAAATAAAATTCAGGGGCGCCTAGGGGGGCTCAGTCGTTAAGCGTCTGCCTTCTGCTCAGGTCATGATCCTGGGGTCCTGGGATCGAGCCCCGCGTTGGGCTCCCTGCTCTGCGGGAAGCCTGCTTCTCCCTCTGCCACTCCCCCTGCTTGTGTTCCCTCTCTCGCTGTGTCTCTTTCAAATGAATGGGTAAAAATCTTTAAAAAAAAAAAAATTTTTTTTTAAAGATTTTATTTATTTATTTGAGAGAGAGAGAAACAGCATGAGAGGGGAGAGGGTCAGAGGGAGAAGCAGACTCCCCGCTGAGCCGGGAGCCTGATGTGGGACTCAATCCCAGGATTCCGGGATCATGACCTGAGCCGAAGGCAGTCGCTTAACCAACTGAGCCACCCAGGCACCCCCCCAAAAAAATTTTTTTAAATAAAATTCAACTGCGTGAGTTCAAAGATCTAAGTGGCTTTATTCAACGATCCACTAATACAGCAGCATCCCATCCAGCAAGAACAGAGGTGCTCGGCGGGGGGTGTGTGTGCACAGAATGTAGGGATGTTATAGGCAGAAACAGGGCAGGACAATCAGCAAAAGAAAAGATCATTTCAGGGCACCTGGGTGGCTCAGTCAGTTTAGCGTCTGCCTTCAGCTCAGGTCATGATCCCAGGGTCCTGGGATCGAGCCCCACATCAGGCTCCCTGCTCTGCGGGGAGCCTGCTTCTCCCTCTCCTGCTCCCCCTGCTTGTGTTCCCTCTCTGGCTGTCTTTCTCTCTGTCAAATAAATTTAAAAAATCTAAAAAAAAAAAAAAAAGAAAGAAAGAAAAGGAAAGATGATTTCAGGCAAGGTCACCTTCCCTCAGGGGGAGGAGCAGGGGTCTGATCCTGCAGATTCCCTCCTCTTCCTTTGGGGGAGGGAGAGGGCCCAAGGGACCGGGTACCTCCTTGGTGGCCACCGGAACATTCCTCACTGGCCAGTTAGGACTACGTTGCTGGGGGAGGTTGGCACTAGGGAAGGGTGTGGTTAGGTTAGGGATGAAGTCCTGGCTTGGTGACTTGGCCTAAGTGGCTCCGTTCTGGGCCTGTTGGTTTTCTTTTTAACACATTGCAAGATGGAGCTAAACCCTCTGGGATGGGCGGAGGCATGAGAGGAGGGAGAGATGGGCAAAGCCCACTGAACTGCAGGACATGACAAGACCAGAGAATTGCCTTCCTTTCCTCATCTTGACAATTATTTTCTGATGCTTTGTTTTCCACATAGAGGAGTTTTCCATTTTTATGGAGTCAAATCCGACTCACTCACACATTCACGCAATTGTGAATGAATGGGTTGTGGGATTTCCCCTTCCCAACTCCCCACGGCTCAGCCACCCCTGACCTCCCACCCTTCCTGAACTTACAAACCAGGCTTTGCCCCGGCAGGTACCAGAAAGCCTTGTCTCCCCACACATCTGCTTGCTGAGGCTCTGTGTTGGGCCCACCAGCAGTTAAAGGTGGGCCTGCTCCTGCAGAGTCAGCACCCAGTGAGAGGGGAGGCCAGCGTCAACTGATGGGTGGGTCGCCGGCGGCAAGGGCCTGGACCTTTCTAAGAGACCAGTCCTGTCCAGACAGCTCCTAGCATGGGCCTTACCCCTGCCCTGAATAAAGAGTGGGACCCTTCCCTGGGTGGTGGAATCTGTCTAATCCTAACCGAAATCCTGCCCTAACCTAGCCCTTCCCAAATGGCCTCGCTCTGACCACACCTCCCCCAGCCGGGCCAAAGCCTTGGGAGCCATTTCCTCCCCGTGCCCGGGGCAGTCTCATGTCTCCTCTGTTCACACAGGCCAACCCCCCACCGTGCCTCTGGGTCACATGCTGGTGACTGACCTCCACAGTGGCTGGCACAAGTGGGGTGTTGGGCCAGGCCTTGCAGATGAGCGACGCAGGGTGGTTGAATGCATAGGGGGGTGAGGCGGGGCAGGGCCTGATCCTGGCCTCTGGGACGCCGCGACAGCCTCCTGCCCCTGTGCCCAGCTCCTCCAGGTCCTGGCTGGGCACAGGCCCCTCTCCCCTGCGCCCTCGGGCAGCTCTTATCTCAGGTCCTGCTCACCACTTGCCTGTGGCCCGCCCCCTACCCCACCCCATCGCTGCGTCCAGCCCTGCGCAGGATGAGACTCCAGACCGTCCCCTGAACAACCCCCCCCACCCCCACCTGGGGCCTGACCCCAACTGTCCCCTGCAGTGGAGACACTCCGCCCCGACCGGTCAGAGAAAGACGGAACCAAAGCCACAGTGCGGGGACGCCCCTACTTTTTTTTTAAAGATTTTATTTATTTATTTGAGAGAGAGAGAAACAGCATGAGAGGGGAGAGGGTCAGAGGGAGAAGCAGACTCCCCGCTGAGCCGGGAGCCTGATGTGGGACTCAATCCCAGGATTCCGGGATCATGACCTGAGCCGAAGGCAGTCGCTTAACCAACTGAGCCACCCAGGCACCCCCCCAAAAAAATTTTTTTAAATAAAATTCAACTGCGTGAGTTCAAAGATCTAAGTGGCTTTATTCAACGATCCACTAATACAGCAGCATCCCATCCAGCAAGAACAGAGGTGCTCGGCGGGGGGTGTGTGTGCACAGAATGTAGGGATGTTATAGGCAGAAACAGGGCAGGACAATCAGCAAAAGAAAAGATCATTTCAGGGCACCTGGGTGGCTCAGTCAGTTTAGCGTCTGCCTTCGGCTCAGGTCATGATCCCAGGGTCCTGGGATCGAGCCCCACATCAGGCTCCCTGCTCTGCGGGGAG